ACGCACCATCTACTACTGAGGGTAAGCAGAGTCACAAGTCTTCTTTCCACTTTCCCTATCATCTATTCACGCTTCCTAGTAATCTGGTTATCCCATCTCCGTAGATGTGTACTTTCCAGGTCCTCTCTTAACCCCTTATTCGCACAGTCACTATTACGTCACACTCATTCCATGAAAACCAAAACACTCATGTTAGGATATTAATACTTGCGGCATTCCTACAGGGAGTGGGGGCCTTCCTAAATTATCTTGGCACATGTGCATAGAAAGATCCACAATCCCTCACAACTGGCAAGTCTTTGAATAGCCTGCACGTTTTAAATAGTCAGAGCAGGCACAAGCCACTACACCTACATCGACAATGCTGCCCCTACCGTACGGTAATATGGTAAATCCGACATAAGTTATTGCCAGGCAGCATTACCGGGAGTCGAGACAGTTGGTTTGACTCCCCAGCGGCAGAATGTGTTATTGGGAGAAGAGACAACCAGTCCCTCGCCCCAGCTACAGAGGGGAGGCACTCCTATCCCTGATGGTGCAGATGACCTACAGGGATGCTGGACGGCCTGTCCAGATCCCCAACTAACCTCACAGGGGTACCAGGAGGAGGAGGTAAGCGATGTCTCCCCTTCACAGCCAATTTCCAGTTGGGCTCTGGGGTTAGTGGATGGGACTACCATACCCACTGACCCCCTTCCAGCAGAAGAGCTGGCATCACGGAAGAGCGCTGCTAGCCTCTGCCCTCCCCTTTCCCCCGGGCCTGACTCCCTGCAGGCCACCCCAGCAGAAGTGCTGGCAACTGGGCAGAGCACTTTGCCCTCCCCTGGTCCTTGATCCAGGAACTAACAACTTCCCCCACTACGTGGCTGTATTACTGGCTATAGGACGGAGACAGACGACAGGCCTCACCAGGTCCAGTAATTGCTTGATGTGGGTGGGTTACTCGACTAACTCCAGTACCGACTAACAGAAGGTCAGGTACCTGGTTAGTCTCCCCCGGAAAGGGAAGATGTGTGACAAAGGCAACTTCGCCACTGGTTTTTGGAGAGGACTAATGGCCAGCCTTTTGCCTTGTGATTATGGCCCCTGTGACTTATTTGGCTTGTGGCAGAAATGCCTCTGCCACGTGTTCCTGTAGGTGCCTGCTGGCTAGCCTCTTGCCCAAAGACTATGGGCTCTGCAAAAAGACATGTTAAAAAGTGACTTCCATGTAAAAACCAAACCACTGAACCGATCTGGGTAATTTTTGGATATATGTTGGTCACCCAGATCAAGGCTATCCGTGACTCTTGTGGGGTTTCCATGGATCTTGGGGGTACTTTTGGGGTGTTTGTAAATTGTGTTTTTCTGTATCTGGAGATAATTGAGTTTGTACAGTCCTGACTCAATTATCTCTCAGAGTGTTTTGCTTGTCTGTGCCTCTTCCCCTCCCCCTTTTTCCTGTTCTATTGTTTTCCTAGCAGGGCGTTGTCCCAGGGACACTGCCAGACCAGTTTAAACGGGCTGCTTTGTCCCTCCTCAATCTCCCATCAGCCTTTGCTATTGTCTGACCCCACTCTTCCTTGTACTATATGTAACCTATTTGTAAATGAGTCTGTTGGGGGTTTAAATGTATGTATAAATTGTAAGTGCTTGTTTGCATTAAACAGACTTGTTCTACCCTTCATGAAGTCTTGGCTCATGTTTGGGGGATTGGAGAACTACCTACACTCTGGGGATTGCTATAATCACTATACGCCCCAGAGTATAATCACTAAGCTCTTGTAAGAGCTGTTCCTGTTCCGGCTCTCTGGACTAAGAAGCTGCCTACTAGAAGCTGGATCCTGGTTTTGGGTCCAGAGTGGGTGGAAGACGGCAAGACCCCAACCAAGCTGAAGCGGTTCATGGGGTCTGCGGTGGTTGTGGTGTTCCGGTGCAGTGCTGATTGTACTTGCAAGTACTGGGAAGCAGCGATATACAGAGGTACCTGGTCAGGGTGCAAGGTGATCGGTCACATTACTGTATAAAGATCCATGTCCATGTTTACCAGTGTAATATTTGCAGGTCGTTTTGGTATCTGGTGTGGTTTATTGAGATATCTGGGGTTCTGCATATAGCGGTAAGCGTCGATAACTAGGGGCTGAATAATATTTACTGTTGGGCCAGATATTTGTTCCGACTGTGTTCCCATACCTATTATAATGTGTTCTCCTGGATTCCCTGTGTATTTTGGGCTGCATGTAGAAAGTTCCCATACAATGATTGGAATGGACAAGATGTTCTAGATCTTGCTGTTGTGTGGAAAATATCAAGTTTTGTGAGTTGAGCTGCATATTCCTCGGTGGGATCCTGGTCTAATTTTCTGTAATGTAGTCCTTTTGCAATGTATATAATATTATTGGCATTTATATAGCGCCAACAGATTCTGTAGTGCTTTACAATATTATAAGAGGGGGGATTTAACTATAAGTAGGACAATTAAAAAAAATAAAAAAATTACAGGAACGATAGGTTGAAGAGGACCCTGCTCAAACTAGCTTACAGTCTATGGGAGGTGGGGTATAAAACATCATGGGACAGGAGAAAGCAATCAAATAAGGTGGGAGTGAATCAGAGCTGGAGGAGAGAGTAAAGTGCTCCCCTTAGAAAAGAGCAAGAGACAGGTATGTGAGGTAGAGGTTAATCTGGGAGGCCATAAGCTTTCCTAAAGAGATGGGTTTTAAGGAACTTAAATGATTGAAGACTAGGGGAGAGTCTGATGGTGATAGGCAGGCTATTCCATAGGAATGGAGCGTGCGTTGGCCGTACATGTGCGAGCAGCGGACAAGAGAAGGTCACGGGCAGAGCAAGAAGGGGCATACCTATGGATCTGTGAAGAGATATAAGAGGGGCTACAATTGTTCAATGCTTCATAGGTATAGGTTAGTACTTTAAATTGACTCCTATAGGATACAGGAAGCCAATGTAGGGACTGACAGAGGGGTGATGTGTGAGGACGGACTAGAGATGAAAATCAGTCTGGCAGCAGCATTCATAACTGACTGTAGTGGGGGAATACTTTTGGGAAGACCAATTAGGACAGGGTTACAATAATCCATGCGAGAAATTACTAGAGCATGGGCAAGCTCCTTGATAGCATCTTACGTAAGAAAGGGGTGGATTTGGGCTATGTATTCAAGATGGAATCTACAGGACTTTGTAATATACTGGATGTGAGGCTCAAAGGTGAGGCCAGAATCAAGCAGGACGCCAAGACAGCGCGCTTGCAAGGATGTTCTGATGTGGATACTACTAACTTGAAGGGAGAGCGAAAGAGGAGGATCAGTATTAGGAGGCGGAAAGACAGGAAGCTCAGTTTTAGAGAGATTTAGTTTCAGAAAGCAGGAGGACATCCAGACAGAGATGGAAGAAAGGCAATCAGTGACACGTTGCAGAGCAGCAGGGGAGATATATCGGGGGTGTCAAAGGTGGTAGTCTAATCCAAATCAAGTAATAAGTTTGCCAAGAGAGGCAGTGTAAAGAGAAAATAGAAGCGAACCAAGGAGAGAGCCTTGGGGGACTCCAACCGAGACAGGATGAAGGGATGAGACACCGAGAGTGTTGGGAGAGAGAGGAGGAAAACCACGAAAGGACAGTCACAGAGACCGAGTGATTGAAGAGTTTGAAGGAGGAGAGCATGAGTAACAGTTTCAAAGGCAGCAGAGAGGTCAAGAAGAATTCGTATGGTTCTGGGTGTTCATGACAACTACCAATTAGTCCTCATCAGGTGGCTTGATGATGATGATGGTTTTATTATTCATCAAATTATTGAAGGCATTTCAAGAGGAGAGAGGTTGTACAGAATATTTCTCTCTGGTGTGGTAACATGGGATGTTGCAGGTGTAGTCTTTGTTCTTTTTATTCTTCCCATTATTATTATTCAGGTTGGATGTGATTTATTTGTCAAAGTAGAATTCCAATTCTGCGTATATTTAAATGTTGTATAGTTTGGTGCTTGGACAAGACTTCTTTTTCAGGTATGGACAGGTTAACAATCGCCATTTGGTTTGGGACATTGATAATTTCAGTAACCATTAGATTGATTGCCTTAATCTTTCATTTGGATTTCTTTGAGCTTTGTGAGGCTTGCTTTTTTCTTCGCTATGATTTTCTGTTGCTCCTTTCTGTAGTAATATTGCACTTCTTGAGATTCAAATGTGATCCATCAAAGACATTAGAGTAAGCATTGCTTATGGGAGGGTATTTTTTTGTTTTCTGGCACAGAGCTGATAAATTAAGTTGTTTCATAGCTACTCACTGGTCCATTTGCAGAGATTTGCAGGTTATAATGATTTGGAGGTAGTTGAAACAGTTTGTTTTTCCAATAGTTTTTTTAATTTTATTATTATTAATGTCAGGTATAAGTGATATCGTGTATAATATCTTCAATATTGTAAATAGCGAGCAGGAAAACAGTTCCTAATTTGGAAAATTATTACATTGAGAAATGATTACATATTTCAAGCCCATAAATGAAGGATTTTTAAAAAAAAAAATTTTTTTTTACACTACTCCCACTATACTTCTATTTTTGATATATATAATTTACTCACACACAAAATGTAGCTGTATATTTGTATGCTTATACAGGCTATTTTTAACCAATCTGCACCTTTTACTCTCAAGACCATCTTTTGCGGTTTACAACACCCCACACAACCCCTCCCCTTCTCTAACATTATCAGTTGCTTAAAGTGTTAAACTCTGTCGTATTTATTCAGACCAGAGTGATAACTTTTGAATTATTATAGTTATATTATTAGTCCAAGGAAGACGGCCTCGTACGCCCCACCCTTGTGGGCCAGTGAGGGTTATCCCAGTCCCCGCTGGACTTGATAACTGTAGTCTTACATAGCAAGGTATTTCACCCAAACTATTTGCGCAAGGCCACACATGTTCCTGCAACACAAGGCTTGGCGCCAAAACGGACACCTGCTGTCTAAAACCCCGACTACTCTGGATGCTGTCTTTGAGTGCTTCTGGGCAAAACTAGAGGAACGTTCAGTGTCAGCTGCAAAAAATAACCTAGCTGCAGAGTGAGTTAGGAGGCATTGTGGAGAGGGGTTGTGGAGGCCCCTCTCGGGCAAATCACCAATCAATGGTACGATCACCTGACTACCTGGTCCACTCGGGACTTGGCCCAAACACACCACCCACATATACAGGGTCCGCTAGGCACATCCAGCTGCGTCTTAAGGGCCCTGAGCAGTGTTCCAACCGGGAAGGCCTTGATCTCAGTGAGTCTATGGGAACAAGTTGTCAGCGCTTGGATAGTACTGGGACTGGAGGGGAAACTCAACCTGGAGCTGCTCTGCTGCTCAAATATGCAAACTTGTATCATGTATCAATGTACGCTGCCAAATCGGGGAGATGGTTGACTGTCCTTCCTCACCTCTATGACTACCTACTTCTGAAGTGATGAGTCATTGTTATTACTGCAGCAGTCAATTCAGTTCTCATGTTTATTAGCTGTGAGCCTCTAATTCCAGTGGCGAGTGAGATTTATGTTCAGCATGTTCACTTTGCTTTTTATGTATGCATATGTTCCTGTCTATACAATCACTTGTTACAATATAAAGTGATAATGGTGTTCAGTACGTCTCATGGTGTATTGTGCCTCAGCATTCAAGTTCAGCTTATTCTTTTCTCTATGCATATGTCCATGACTATACTATCACTTGCTTTCTCTATGACGGGATATTGGTGCACTGCGCATCTCATCGTCAAAACCTTTGAGGACCGGCTGACTATAAATTAGTTAAAGCTAGCTTTGTACAATGAGCAAATGCTCTCAGTGCGGCATGTCCCCTTCCTGCTACACTCACTAGATCCACCGCTTTCTCTATATGAGGATGCCTACCAGGAGCTTCTGTATGCAAAGAAAGGAAGGAGAGAACTCAAAGTTGATGATTAGTAAGAAAGGAATTGAGAGTTGTGGGGTTTGTAATATGTACTAGTTTGAGAGATGGAAGAAAGATGGACATAGGGTATGTGTATTCTTATAAATACACCCTAGGAGTTTCTATCTGGCACCACATCCACCAAATATAAGACACTTGGGAGGTATCACTGTCTTAGTGTTTTATGTATATAAGTGGTTATGATGCTTGGAATGGTCCTTCAACATAGTTTACTACATCTAATGGATCTGAATGAATAACAGCTGCCAAGCAAACTATGCCACTGATTACAAAGAATGCTTATAGGTGTTACCAAAATAGTGAGTAACTTGCCTTCTGTGGAGAATGAGAAATAGACAAGAAAAGACACACATAGGTAACATTTCATTTATTTACATCACAAGAGTAACACGCTGCCATCATGTAGTACAAAATACTGCACTGCTAAGAAAGTTTAAATCAGTCGTTCTTATCACAGAAGAGAGAAACAAAATAAAAGACAGTCAGTGAAAAAAAATGAAATATATATATATATATATATATATATATATATATAAAAAAAAAAAAAAAAAATGCATCCAGCTCCTGTAGAACAGAAAGTGCCAGAAAATGAGCCCACATTTCTGCAATTGTGGCTTAAAACCTGACCAAAAAGAATATAAAATTATATTAAATGCAAGAGACAAAATATATAACAAAACAAAACAAAACAAAAACACAGCAGGTGAATGCAAAGTGTCCAGGATTCAAATATATAAAACAATCACCATCACTCTTTTAGAAGATCTGGTGAACGTTGCATCAAATTTTCTTAGTTTATATTTTTAATTATATTTATATTTATTTATATATATATATATATTATGTATATATATTTATGTACACACACTTCTTATCTTTAGAATATGGAAAGTCACACTCCAGACAAAGATATGTGTAAATCCCTTCTTCTAAACTGAAAACGCTGAACCCATTTCTCTAGGGGACAACGAGCAAAATGACTCTTGCTGGAGGTGTTTCTATATTTTTTTTATTTTTTTCTGTAAAGTTTATAGTTGAATGTCTTTTGATTTAAACACAGTGCATTGGCAGCGTGGGTGAGTGCCCACCCTCATGTAAAAAGGCAGCAATTGCTTCTGCCTGGGATGTGAGAATTACCTCTGAAGTAAACATACAATCATAGACAGACAAAGGAGGCACCTCTGCCAATGAGTATCAGGACATGATGCAGGCAGACAACGTGTTAAGTGTTGATCCCACTGGGTCACAAATTCTAGGGTATTAAAAATACAGCGATGGTGGGAATAAAAAAAAACAAAATCTATTTGCGTCAAACGATAACACAGATATACCAAGAATGGGTAACCTGCACCAATTTAATTTCTGTGACGTGAAAGATGCAGATCACCTTGGTACAGAATAGGTTGCCACTATCATATGCCTTCCCTGCACATAGTGTTCCACCCACGACCTGGTCAGTCCTGGCCACAAAGTACATATAGCGGGAGGGTCTTTCAGCGCAAAATGTTCTGAGCCCGGATGACCGAAAACATTGCCTTACAGCAATGAAGGCAAGGTGCAAGTCATCTGATGTTTGTGAACAAGCTTAGTAGAGTGAAATATTAGGCCAAAAACATGGCACATGGTTCTAACATGGCTTTAACATGCATTCTGGGTAATTGCAGCTGCAGACAGAATGTACACAGTGTTTGCACAGGATTGCAGTTAGTGCAGCACTGCACACCCTTTAGTGTTTTACAAATAAAAAATATGCCCTATGAAATCCTTTTTTGAGGAGCCTGGCACAACAAAATACCTGGGACATCACTTTCGTCACATCCCCTGGAACAAAATCTTTTGAACCATGACAAACCTCTTTTCCTCATTGGCAGGCACGGGTATATCTGCAAGATCTTGTTTAACAATATATATATATATTTATTTTCTTTAATAATAAAAAAATAAAAAGCACACATTGCCAGTCCATTATAATACTCTAAAGATACCTTAGTCTGACCAACAATAAGAATAAAACAATCGTCCTTTTCTTTTCAGGGGGTCAGAAAATGATTTGTTTTCACACTTCATCTCTGCCTGAAATGGCGTTTTATCCAGGCACCGTAAAGGACCAAACTGTGCTTAAATCATGCAACCTCAAAATGTATATGTAAAAACTAGAAAAATAGATCGTATATGTATATATGTGTATATAATGCATGTACACGTACTTATACACACAGATACATATACAGGCATATAGTTATCTTAATATATATATCCTTTTTGATGGAGAGGTCAATGCCCGTAAATAGGAGTGTGGCCCCTCCGTTGCACGCACAAAATTATATTATGTATTAAAAGTGGAATGAGTGGAGAGGTGAAGCATCCAAGAAAAAAAAGGAATGAGATTAATAAAAAGGGGAGGGTAGTGTTTAGTGAAAAGATGCCGAGTTGCCCCATCCACTGAATAAAATCAAGTACAGAAATACACACACAAAAAATAGCCTACCCAGCAACTTTGACATGCCTTTCCATGGTCTTATCTAGGAACTAAACAACCTGCATGTTTTGGGAGTCACATCTAACCTTAGGTATGTGAGCTACAAACTGATTGCGCTCTGAAAGGTGCATTTAGAATTAAACATGGACCAATTTTTAGTCAGTTTATAAATAATGAATTTACACTCCAAACAATGTGTGGCCCATACACATCAAAATGTACAACACAGTCTAAGACAGATGCTTGCGTTTCTATTGCACATTTAAAATTTCCACGAACAGGAGCAAAGCAAAATTGAATTTATGGGCTTACTATTTGGAGCACGTGGAACATGGTAAAATTAGGATGGTTATATACATTGCAACTGTATGCACTGGTCAGAGCAGAATCTGCTTACATATTCTACAAAGAAATGATTATATGCACTGCAAATGTCTCACCAAACCTGCATTTAAAGGGGGACTCCCACAAAACTGAATTGACCGAGCCATGGACCCTAAAGAGGCTACGTACCGAGAGGTCACACCTCCTGCAGTGAACAGCTGAAACAGAAGATCTAATGACTGTGCAGGGAGCAGCTTCACACTGAAAGGCAGAAGAGTAACAGCATATGAAAACATGACCTAGAAAAGAAATATCTATATGGCCCAGTGTGGTGCAGTCACAGGCTGTAGTGTTGTTGCAGAATGAAAATAAAAAATAAATACACATCGTAAGGAAACAAAGCGTAGGTGCCGACACACAGAAGGGGCAATAAAAGACCCTTAATACCCCATACCCCTAACTTGACTATAACTCCTAGACACACTATTTGCTTCCAGGACAAGAAATGACAAATGTCAATGTGCAGGCTGAAGAGCAACTCATTAGAATTCTCCACAACACAGTCAAATCCAGGGATTATGGAACTGCAAGAAACAAAGTTAAACTGCTGCAGTATCATGCTGTTCCCAATAACAGTGAGGTTAATCTCCGGAATCTGTTACTGAGTAAGGGGTGTGAGTCACATGCTGCTGTAAAAATCAGCCACAACTCAGACCTCAGCATGGATAATAAGTGCTATATTGAGGTTATATCCAATACCGAGCGCACCATGCTCCCTCCATGCGACTCCAGGAGCAAGGCTCACATACAGTACATTGTTGGTCTCAGTAAAGAAATCAAAGCTTGTATCAATGCCTCTCTCTGACCTTGTAACAAGTGTGGTAAATAAGAGCGACCTAGCTCCATATTTAAATCCAGAAGAGTAAAACTGAACAATATCCATCGACACCCTGTCTACAGGTCGGATGCATACAAGAAATGTCCACCACCACTGTCCCAGTATTTTAGATGATGCATACATGGAATGTCAATGGCAAGATCAGAGGAAGTAAATATGAACATTTAAAAATAAAATTAAAAAAAAATCCCTAAACAAAAAGAAAATTCCTTGAGTAAACCAAAAAACTTCTTTAAAATATAAAAACAGGAGAAATCTAAGTTACCACAAGAACATTTTTTTTTTTTTTTACAAAAAATACATATATAAAGCTTTGAATGAAAAACAAAAAAAAATATATAAAAAAAAATAATTTGAAATGGGAACTGGAAATGTATTAATTGCCTGTGATAAACATGCTCATAAAATTCTACCCCCAAAAATAAAACAAAAAATTAGCCCCTTTATAAAAAAAAAAAAAGGAATCGCACAGGCCAGTAACACGCTCCCTGCGCAGTGAGAGGCCGCATCTCCACTTTTAGAAATGATCCCACAAATCACTGACGGTAGGAAAAGTCTATGCTTGGTGTGCACAGGTAA